TCTCTCTCCGACCCTTTCTCGGGATCTACGTTCGGTACAGTGGCTGCTACAAGCCACTGTCATTTTATCGATGAAAAACACCGCGAGAGCATGTTTGTCCGGATGGAGAACATTGATCAGCCCGCGCAGGCTCCGAAAATGTTTTCATAGACTATGTAAATCTCCCGACAACATGTTTTCCCAACTCCTGAATTAGTGTTGAGAACACAGGCGGAAGAAACGCATGTATAAATGCGCAATATGTAATGTAACGTTAACATTTCTCATTTTTAATGATTCTCCTTATTTTATCAAAAATTAAATAAAATAGTAAATCAAATGTATATGTAACTGACAGGAAAATCGAACCGAATCGGATTGTGGGAAAGAAATTTCCATCTCCGGAGAATACGGTAGTTAGACATAAGATCTATTGTTTCCTGTCTAGACTAGACAAGAATTAATAGCATAAGGTGAAGTAAGAAAGAATTTTTAACTTAATACCTCTCCTTCCTCCATCAAACTCTTCATACAATTCCCAGAAAATATGTATGTTTGAATTTATTTTCTAGCACAAGGAATAGAGCTATCTAAATCAAGCTATCAAAACATGTTATGCAAAAATATTCTCGAGTGTTTTATCGTGTTTCCTTAATTCCTACATTCACGACGAGCTTCAACGTCGTTTAAATTAATTAATTAAAACACTAGCCATGTTAGCTTCGTTCCAAGGCTCGTTTCCAAAGAATACTAACTTGTAACAATTTAAGTATATAATAAAAAAATTTAGCGTCTTTTGTATTCTAATGTTTCTGCGTTTGTGCACAGAAAAAAAATTAGTTTTAAATCAAGATCAAATATTCTCAAATATATAAACAAGATTACAATCTTTTTAGAAAAATTTTAATCTTGATTGAAGTGTATTAGTGCAAGTATTAGTTTTGCTCAACTCAAGGCTAAAAAAATCTTCTGTTGATTATTGCTTATGAGAACATCTATGCTTGCATCGATACAAATTCGATGAAATCAAAACTAAACTTTTTCTAAAAGGATTGTAATATTCTCGCTTATATCTGAAAATATGTAATCCTGATCTAATTCTTTTTCGGAAGATGCAAGAAGTAGGGTTGTAGGATATCGAGAATCTTTTATGACAATGCGATATTTGAATGGTTTTCAGGTGTCTTGCCTCTTTCTTCTCTCATATGTAAAAAATAAGAAATAATGCTTCCAGAGATTGTCGAAGGAACTTTCGGGATCTACTGTACCCGACGACCTCTGCAACCGTGGCCGGCAACCGGCGGAGACATAATTGCGGCTCGTAATCATGCTGCCGAGCCCGAGGGTATTCCTCGTCCCGCCTCTTTAACCCTCGTAGCTCGTTTTCTACTTCGTCTTCCCTTCGTTCTATCGTACCCTCTTGTCTCCCTCGCTCACACGCGCTCTTCCCCCTTATCTTCGCTTCGCGCGTTTCTCCAGTTTGAAACGAGTAAAATGTAATAACGTTACGTCCGCGGAAGTTAAAGGAAGCCCGAGTAGGAAGAGATTTGATAGACATGGAGTGGAACTCCCTCCGGTGGGCAATGGTGGGGATTCTGCAGGACCTGCTCGGTTCGACGAGGCGAACGCGACAAGCCGAAAGACGTAAAAATACACAAAAATACAAAAGACTCGCGGACAAAAGAATTAATAGCACGTAATTACACTCAATTAAACAAAAAAAAAATAATATATATATATATATATATCGAATTTAAAGGTACTACGCGAGGTACAAGATAAAGAGACTGATCTGCTGGAAAAGATATTCTTGACTTTTTAACATTTAATTATTATCAATAATAATCGCATAATGATTCGTTTTGAAAATAATGAATGTAACTCTAGGAACAGTGAAGTACCTACAGTTATGCTATTAGACTTATCTCTATAAAAGTCGAG